TCTGCATCAAGGTAAACGTTTTAAATTTGACCAAATGATACTATAACTTTAGAAAGGGTAGTATGGGTACATTGTATGTATAAAATGCAGTTTCCTATAAGAAATATTTTGCTAACGAATACCTATAGATTTTTGTGTTATGGATTATATTCTTAGGGCACTAACCGTTAACATACAAAACAATAAATGAGAGATTAACACCCTGTCAATTAACTAGAGAACGTCGACATATGTCCGCACCATTTCTGAAATAGGGGTTTTAATTGAACTTAGTAAAATAAGGGAATGCAATCCGTGTTTAGGAAGATGCGTCACAATTTCATGATATGATCAATTAATGGTATTAATTTGTCTAGACCGTTAGTATGTAATAATGTAAGAGAAATTTCTAATAATATAATAACATAATGCGCAATACAAGCATATTTTGTTTACGTCGTGATCCATTGTAAGTGCTTGTTGCGTGGTTTCGACACGTGATGTATCGTAATTAATTTTTCTCAAACAGTTGTATATATCAGCGCATATGAACAATTTGAAAAATATTTTGTCCTGTCTTTTTTTCATGTGTACGTGTTTGTATATTCTAATGGGTTTGGGGTTCCCATAGCAAAACAAATCTTTGTAAAACATTTCAAGAGGGTTGACATCTTGTGTTTGCAACCACTCGTAGATTTTTAACTCTTTTTAGGTAAAACCTAGTAAAAATCTTTTGGAGAATTTGCTGGAATTTTGCACATTTTAATTTTTTCTATCTTAATAATTTTTCAGTTTTGCGGTACAAAACACAAAGTTTTCCGAATCAAATGAAATTATGTATCAAGTAATAGCTTCTCCTCTCACACCGAATAGTTGGACTTAATTACCGCAGAATCTTGATAAATAGTATGCCAATGTGCACGTCGTCTTTTTTCATTTTTTTTTTAATCCAAATAATATTGTTTGGTCGAGGCATTTGATAGGTAGTTAAAAATAAGGGAGATCTGTTCACAGTTTTATACCCCGTAGACGTATGTCATTGTCGTTCCGTACGTCTATCTGACCGCTCGTCCGCACAACCACGCCCAACGACAAGACAAGTTTGCTTATCATTATAAATGGATCTTTGTGAAATTTTAAACAGTGCTTATATCTATGAAGACGAGCTCTCTTTTGATTTTGACAATTTTCTAATTATTCGTTGAATATTTGATTGATTGTTGTTTGCTTAACGTTCAGTGGCAAATTGTTATTGCTTATTTGTGACGAGAACAAATTAACAATAACTACAATGTATATATATGTATATATATATATATAAATTAAGATCCATTTATTACATCGGTGATCCGTTTATTTGGCAATCGCCAATGGCAGTCAGCAGGGTTTAAGAACATTTGTTGTTCGACCAGTTAGTCAAATGCGTTTTGTTAAAATATACTTTTTCACTTTTTGGTCTTTTGGAAAATGTTGTTTGTGCTGTATTTAGACCCCTCTAACAAGAAATTTGTTTTGCATGCACACGTATAAAAATTGCGGTTTTTATCCAACGCAATCATAGGTTTGAACGTTGTTTTCAATTTAGACTTGTTTATATTTTTTTCGTTTGGGCTTGTATTATATTTGCCTTAGGGTTTATATGATCCGTTCATCCTATTTTGACTCCTCAAAATATAAGAGTCTATCCTAAATTGAGGTAAATCGTTGGGCTTTCCAAATACCGTTTCGATTCCTAACATCACTGAAGAGACATTATTTGTCGAAATCCGGATATGGTGTACAAAAACCTTTGCACCTTTTGTTTGCGGTATATCATCTTTTCCGCAAGTTTATTGTTTTCTGTTTAGTATTAAATTTAAAATTAAGATCCATTTATTACATCGGTGATCCGTTTATTTGGCAATCGCCAATGGCAGTCAGCAGGATTTAAGAACATTTGTTGTTCGACCAGTTAGTCAAATGCGTTTTGTTAAAATATACTTTTTCACTTTTTGGTCTTTTGGAAAATGTTGTTTGTGCTGTATTTAGACCCCTCTAACAAGAAATTTGTTTTGCATGCACACGTATAAAAATTGCGGTTTTTATCCAACGCAATCATAGGTTTGAACGTTGTTTTCAATTTAGACTTGTTTATATAATATATATATATAGAAGTCTATAAAAAGGACCAACCAGCAAATTTAATATGAACCGGATCGTCTAGAATAGCCGGTACTGCGCAGAAAAGGAAAAAATTATATAAGATATAATATATATATATGATAGGTAAGTTCTGTAAAGAGGGTAGAACGGAAGCAGGAAAAGAAATTTAGACTGCCACCGGAAACTAAGGGTATGTTGGATAGGATAGGAATTTCAATTTCTGTGCCAGGCTACTTACGAACCCCAATAAAGTTCTTTAACCATGCAGATTGGACTTATCTGCTTATTTATACATCCCGCATAGATAAACGGGTTTAGCGTGACTTCTACTCAGTTTTCTACTTGAAAGTAACTGTCCATGTGCATGTTTGGATTGATTTGATGTTGTTTTATTTACGTTCATGCAGGCGAAAATACTAGGAACTGTCTTATTCACGACAGTCGTACTAGTATGCTGTAAGAATATATCATGTCGAAGGATATTGTTTGTTTGTTGCTGTTTTATTTTTGTATATATTATGTTTCTCTTAGTCGCTAATAACGAAGAAGGGCAATTGTTTGTCTGTGCGGGGATGTGTTTGTGTTAAATGTTTAATACCTCATATTTCATTTTTTCTGATTAGTATTTTTCAAGAAATATACTTGCACGCCTGAAAGTGTATGCAGGTATATGAACGGATATATGTTTTGACACTAATCCCTACTTGTGTAAAAAGAAAGATCACAAAACGGAAATTCAATATTATGATTAAAGAACTTAATAAAAACAATCGGCAAGAAATTTAGATTGAACAACAAACAGTTCCCATATTGACATGTTTAGTTTTTTACCTGACAAAAAAATGATTAAAATATTCCTCATATTAATGAAATGGATATAGAAATTGTGAAAAGTAAAAAAATACCTGTAGATGGCATATTTTTTTCTATGTTTTCGTCTTAAGTTATTCATTTACAAATATTATTCACATACAATGAAATATTACATTACAGAAAACATAATTTCGTGTCATTTCGCCTTTCGTAAAGTCGTTAGGGGTGAATGGCTTTTATATTCAACGGACGATTGACGTAAAAACTTTATTTAAATACTGTAAATTTTAAAAACATATAGAGTGAACACATAGATTTATGAACGTTAATTTAAAATGTTTAAGTACTTTGTCAAACAAACTAAGATATGCGTGAAATTTAACTAAAATAGATAATAAAAGTATACAACATTCGAGACAGATAGTAAGACTTGTAATATTACGTCAATTATGGCGAATAATAATAGCGGGAAATGTTAATAAACGGATCACGGAAAAGGATTACAAAATGACAAGATAAATACAACCTTCTACAAACCATGTAGATTGATAAAATAAACATTCCACTTTTCAATAATAAAAATGAGAAAACGATCCGATATATAAATGAAGATGTGAAGGCACAAGGGCGAATCCAGGACTTTTGAAAAGGGGGGGGGGGGGGGCGTAGTTTCCGATAACTGAAGATTAAGCGCTTTTTTTAAATTATTTTCTTACGATTTTATACCAAAAATTTATATAAATCATGAAAAACATGACATTTATTATGTGTTGGGCGATCAAAGGGGGCGTACGCTCTCTATGTCTAACACTCCCCCCCCCCCGGGATCCGTCACTGAACTGAGACCGCGTAAAAATGTCAGTTAAAATATCGTTAATAGACACATGGTCTCTGATCAAAATAAGATACTCGAACAGTAATTAATATCAATATATAGGAAAATGAATAGAATTCTTTTTGACATCCCCTTAACGTATATGCATGCCTATTGGCAATCTTCAGAACTAGCTCAAAAGAATCTCTCTATCCCTCTCTCTCAATTGTTTTTGCTCCGAGAGAAAGAGAAACGATCTCGCCTCTTTTCCTTACGAAATATCGGCTTGACTTCAGAAATAACCTAGCTATTGATAATTGTAAGAGCTCTATTCAAAAACAAAACCAATTAAAGATAATTGAGTGAATTATATTACATTACAATTGAAGTAAGGTTCTGTATTTATTAATTATACAAGCTGGTATTCAATCCATGTGATAATATAAGTAAAATAGTATGTAGCTATTAATCAATTGTATGCAATGTATTCGTACTTTGGTAATTTCACGTTAGTTGTCATTTTATCGTTTTTATTGTAAATTATACATCTAAAAGTGGGATATTTTAGTCCACTGTATTGATCTAGAAGTAGGAGATCGTTTTCCGTCGTTGTTATTTTTGTATCAAATTGACTGATTAAATTCTATTGAAACTTTTTGCTATATCACACAATATAGTTTTGTTTACGTTTAAACGGCGTGTAAAATTATACCTTACACGATTTTCCGTAACAAGGACAAAATAGTTTAATAAAAGATTTCTATATTACATCAACTTTGTACATTTACGGAATTTTATAGTCATATTACCGGTGTTCGATCACGTATATTGATTCATGCAAGGCTGCCTTCATATGAATATTATATATTTTCTAAGCAAAAAAAAAATAAACAACATTTGCGTTAAATCTTTATAGGGTGTGTATTTTCATCTAGACATATAGACTTTTTATTGTATTAATTTAAAGTAGTATCGTAATACAAGATTGATTCAAGATTAACACGGAAAAATATTTCCGTAGCACGCATAACTAAGTGTGTTGTCAAACTATGAATAAAGAGCGATTTAAAACATCATGACTCTGGGAGATGGACTTAAAAACTTTTTACATTTAGATATAACGGAGACGTGTAAAGGGTTTTTAATCATCCGTACTTTTTGTAACCGATATAAATTTTAAGTGAATGTTTTCCGTCAGAGGATTCAATAACAAATGCCGGCGCGACATGGAGCTAGAATTGTGAGTTTTTATTGATTTAGAAATAATCAGAAAAACGGTTCTAACAACAAAAGAATCGACACGAAAGAAAGCGATATTGTCTACTTAAATAATCAGTAGGAGATTACCAATAGAATGCCGACTGAACCACGAATTATACATACAGAAAAGATAATATCCGCAAAACGCTTTCAAATAGCAATACGATTTTAAATACTTTCGTTTTATGACTATTTGTTGAACATTGTGCATTACATAGGCAATTGATGATAAAACTTAACACGAACTATTTTATATTACTTATAAGAGATTTTTTCCGTAACTCACGCAGAACGGATACGGTTTTCTGCCTTAACAATCACACGATTGGTTTTAGATTTCATAGATTTTTCCAACTTTTTAATATGTTACACGTGTACATGTCTCTTTGTTTGTACAGGATATAAATGTATTCTGTACTGGTGCGTGCATTATTCAAAGTTTTCTGGACATGAGCGATAAGCTAGCGTTAGTGTGAATTATTTTTATTGATAATCAATTCGTTGACGACGATTAAAAGCCTGCAGGATGTTTGTGCTTGTATATATCATCTCAATTTAGAGTTTTGTTCCTTGTTTAATCATCGCATATCATTAACTGGCGGTTTATGACGACCCAATTTTAATCTTTCTAAGCCACTTTTGTTGTATATACAGGCGGAGTGAGTTCGTATTTAAACAGCACTGGGAGACACGAGGAAAAGAGACGCTACGAAAATATATACAACACATGTAAATGTCAAAGAGGCCATCTCAGTAAGTTACAGATTCATGATTTGCGTGTGTTGAACATTTGCGTAAAATAAAGTAATTAGAGATTATGCTATATTTTACGCAAGATCATTGAAGGATCATATTACAATTTGTCTACGGAATCTACTTCAATGTAAATATTATGAAGGCGAAGTCATTTACGGAAAAGAGAAAAATTAAAACTGAAGGTACGGAAAACATTGAAAAAAGTGAACTAGCAATGAAGAGAAGGAGAAAGCACAGGGCGGGAAAATATTCTATTAATGAAGAAGTAAATGTTGCAGATGCTGAAGATTATATTGTTACTTCTATTGAAGATGGAGAGACAGTATTAGATGTACAGTGCGGAACAAATAAGGCTACATTAACACTTGACAGATTGTGGCAAGGAAGTAAAGGTCCGTGTATAAATTTTCAAGGTTCATGGTTGACACCAAATGAGTTTCAATATGTCAGCGGGAGGGAAACGGCAAAAGACTGGAAACGTTCAATCCGACACCAAGGAAAAAGCATTAAATTACTTCTTTCAAAGGGTTATATAAAAGTTACAACAGACAGCGTTGTAAGTATACACTAATTAACATTATATATTGTTACATGTATTCCTAAAAAGAGATGCCATCTGTCGTGCTAAACTACAATTTATAATTTTCCGTCAGTACGGAAATGAATACAATATTGGTATAGGTGAAGGCGATAATAAGTGTGTGTACGTGTTTATTGTCATGAAAAGTAAACAAAGAAAAGTTTAGACAATTGTAAATACTTTTATCTTGTATCGACTAAATATTTATCCTTTCTGTTCTTTGTATGGGATTACAATATTGAACCGAGAACATATTTTTGTTATCGACGAGATAGCGAGTATGTATAAGATTAATCCTAATTTTGTAATCGAAAATGCTTGTCACGAACGGGAAAGAAGATTAAAAGTAGGGTTTTGTTTCATGTCGACAAAAGTTTTATCTGTAAAAGCATTTATTAACGTACGTCCGTCAACCGTCATTATTGATCCCTATTTGAAGCATATGTAATATGCGTGTTAAAGGACCGACATCTTGCACTAAAATATAGATTATTTTTTTCTAAACAGGATGAATTTCGTCACGTTTATTCAATAAATTACTTTTTTTTTATTTCTGTATTTATGTTCATACGAAGTAGTGTTTTCGAAAATAAGGTGAAGAGGCGGTAATAGAACAATAATATAATTCCATCTCGCTTAGCATGCAGACTTTTCCACATTTCTATATTTATATTTCATGTATGAAATGTTATCATTCGATCTACGTAGTAAAAATGGTCACATTTTAAAAGTCATTTAAAATTTACGATTGTACATGTTTTAAACCATTTGCGTCAGGATATCCGCTTTTCAAGCATGTCAAGAGAAAAATGTAAAATTTATTTATAATCGCATTACCAGATTTGATACGTCGTATTCATAACACCACATTAATAATTTTTCATGGGAGAATTTTTTTAGTATATTTTCTTGTATAAGACGCCTTGCTCTTGCACGCGATATTTCCTGGCTAAGGTTGATTAGCTGTGCATGCGATAACAAAGCGTTATCGTAAAATACAGTTTATGGCTTTTGTGTGCTTTTCCGTAACCGAGGGGCGTTACATAAATAATTAAATACATAAATGAGACCTTTATTTCAAAGTCGGAAATAGATTAAGCACGAAAAGATGTGGCGGCATTGTTATTTAAAATAAATAAAATAGACGAAAGACGATAGCAATAAAACTTATTGAGTTTAGGAAAGTATATATTGATTAATTTATCACGATTTCACTGGCATTTATCCAAGCATTTCTGCATACGGAAAGAATTTGAAATTAAAAGAAGTTTGCAAAGGGTCGCTGCTCTTGTCGGCAACGTAAATGAAATGCGATCTTCGTAGTATGACTTCGCAACAGATTGAAGTCATTATACAATGTACGCTATATTAGAATTGTTTCAGCAGACATAATTACGGGCAAGTCGATAAACGCTTCTCTTTACGATTTTCTGTGCAAATGTTGCGGAAAACATACGAGTAGACTTTTAATTCCTCACGACCATATTATCTGAATGTAATATAGATTATACGGAAATTTCATTTTGGTTACCTAGAAACAAATTTGAAGTATATCAATTCGTTTCCTTGTCAAAATTATTTATCTAAAAGTATATATCATCTGATTGATACGATTTCAATACGTCGCATACGTCAGAACGTTTTTCCGTATGGCACTATACGTGTATAGTAGATTGAATGGTTTCTAGGAAAAAAGGAAACGCCCATACATTCGAAAGTATAATGCTACAACAATAACAATAGAAATACATTGTTGACGTTTCCGGGTGATAAAACATCCAATGTATAGGTCAAGTGCAAGGCAATTATTAAACAACATTTGTAATAAAAAAAAAATTTCTCCTGCAATTCAGAATTTAACTTGAACAAACCTAGATAAAATGTCGAAACGTATCTTCCGATTCCTTGAATCCATACGACAAAAGTTCCATAGCAAGCAGTATCGAAATGAGAGCGACATTGCACACAATGCAACAATGTTACGACAGAAAGGTCCCTTGGAAAATCAGTATTACAACTTGCAATGACTTTCATTATTAGTAGGTCAACCGGAACGGAACGCAAATTCCAAATCTTTAAATCTTGACTGATATTTAAAAAAAATGCAGATGAAAACATTGTCGATGAAAAGACATTGAGTCTGACAAACATTTATTTGGATAGAATTCTCTTTATATCAACCCAAAGAATACAATTACACACAAAAAAGCAGCACGGCATCCGTGAAAAAGTATACATTTGTCGCGAAGCTATTATAACTGTTTGACAACTTACGGAAGCGAAACGCAAAGTCGGCCTGGAACCCCAACCCTTCATTATACAACCAAACACGCATATACATTGTGAACAAAAAAGGCAAGTTAATGAAAATATCAATTACAAATGCTTGGGTGTTGTTTTTGATGCTACGAATAAAGCGTAATTATTTAATCGTGCATATTAGTTTATATAGTAATAATCAATAAATATCTCGAGTCACTGAATGCTTCCAAATATTATTTATTCTCAGATTACTGAAATAGGTATAAACTTGAGTTTTGCGTGTCTGGGTGTACATTTGTCGTAATGATTATTGATAAAATATCGACAAAGCGTTGGTTAAATAACGACTATGTATGAGCGGAACCCCCAAGACAGGACAAAAGACTATATTCTCACGTATCCTGACATCTAACAAAATCGTTAAAATGATGTTTATGCGATCAATGCTAAGCCGTATATAATGATATAATTGTTCTAAACAACAACACTAAAAATCCTTACTGCTCGTGTCAATTTTGTATGCGTGAACGCGCATGTCTGTATGCCTAGAACATTAGGTGACACGTGACGGCAACAGCTGAAAATTTAACGAAAGTTTTAAATAAAAAAGCGTTCGTCTGTGAAAACATGAAACCAATACATATTCAATCATCGTTTAGACAAAAATGAATATTCATTCCATCAATACGAAGATTAATGATTTTTATTGCTACATATTTGCAATTTATATATATTTTACCAGACAGAAGACATACTAGAATAACGTTCAAGGCAGAAACAAAATCGTAAATAATTGCTCATTTTGCGTCATTCACACATTTCAAGTCATGGTAAATCAGTGATATAACTATAAAACTAAGGTTTCTCTTTAGAAATAATCAAAACTCTTTACGTGTTAAATGTTTATTTTTGTCAGAGAAACGTGCTCAAACGGTTCTTCGTCTTTTCGCCACATTTATTACCAGAAGGATTTGTAATATCGTACATTAATTCAATACAACAGCTGTAGTCTTGATGATCAGTAGAGGAAGATATTATCGGTGTTATATTCTTTTTTCTCAAGTACGGACAGTAAATAGATGACGTGCATCGCCGCGGCATTTTTCATACATTCTATTGTATTAGCGTCACGAATATCTCGGTTTATTGATCGAACTCGTTCGAAACTAATTTACGATTAATTTATATTAATGGCGAAGTTAATTAATGTTATCGTGACGTTTTAAAAAGTTGGTTATCAGTTCCACACGTTCAATGATATAAAAGTAAACGACGCTTAAGGAAGTCGGTTACTTAGGAATACATGTACGTGTAAAGATTTTTCATTATGGGACATCCGTTTCTGTCTAAATCCTCAGGAAATCCTCCTTCTTGTCATCAAACAGTTACACGCTACTAAATATCACCTCATTTTTTCAATCGTTATTTAACTGAATTCTTCAGTGCATTAATCATTTGAAGAAATTATTATTTTTTATTTCAATGACAAGTATTGAGTACTCATTATTGAGTTTAACTACTATATCTAAAAAGAAGAAGAAGAATGACGTAAATTGCTTCTCTTTTGTTTGTCTTTTAATGAATTGTTTGTCAGTAGCAGTTGTTTCGATGTAACGAAATTCTTATATTTTAAGTATGTATATTAAAGTGATGTATATGCCAAATATGTTTATTTTCTGTTTTTTATATTTGGCACGTTTTTATTATTAAGTTTGTTGAATAATCGTCGTCAGTTCATTTGTTTCTGTATCAAGTTCCGGTTATCTGCTTGCAATTACTTTAATAAAGCGTCCTTATCATTTATTAGATCTCTCTGGTGTACGTGCTTATTCTAATACATGGGCCGTAACAATTTATACCGTCATACACAGTTACAAGAGTAAACCATTCTGCCTTTGTTTAGTTTATCCACGAAACTGTAATTATAGAAATTTTCCCATTTACTACAGTCGTAGCTATCAATGATAAATCGATAATAGTCATTTTAAGGTTATGCGGTTATTAACACCGCTCAAACAGAGCCGTGGCTTTATTCTTCAATTTGCCTTTTAATAGGGTTAAAGCGCTTTATAAAGAGAAAATTCCTTGTACGATATGAAAGTCACGCTATCGTCTGATGCATAAAACAGTCCAATAATTAATGTTATTATTAAGAATCTCCGCATGATGCTGTAGATCAAATATTATTGAAGAAAATTAATACTCGATTAAAAAAAAATATGAAATATTTTCAGGTGTCCTTGATTTTGTACATTATTAGGTACAGAGGCGCATATTTTCCTTTTTTCAGAGTTAAAATAGCCTGTGTAATATTTGCATAGCACATTACTTTTTTGCCATCGCCACAATCATGACAAAATTAATTTTAAACAGTCACGTACTTCCAAGAAGTCCGCTATACTAACAATATTTTTTTTAGATGTGCAGTAAATGTAATATATAGTATCAGCTCAAATGTTGATACTTTATTTCATCCCGTGACTTGGTGTCAGCGATGCTCTAATTTTTCCTCTGTATGTGTAGTTAGGAATACTTATTTAATCTTATGTTTGAGGTAAGGGGTACTTTTTGTCCTCTGTTTGTCGACAAGGATACTTTATTTCATCCCTTGTTTCAGGTCAGCGATACTTTATACTATCTTCTGTATGTCGACAAGTATACTTTATTTCGTCCCCTGTTTGAGGTCAGTGATACTTTATTTTATCCGCTTTATATGTAGTCGGGGGTACTTATTTCATCTTATGTTTGAGGTAAATGATATTTTACACTATCCTCTATTTGAATTCAGTGACTAATTACTTTATCCTCTGTTAGTGGTCAGGATAACTTCATTTTATCCTCTGTTAGTGCATGGTCAGGATTACTTCATTTTATCATCTGTGGTCATTGATACTTCATTTTATGTTTTGTCAATAAATTCACAACGTCACAATGAACCTGAAATCTTGAACCTTCTAAAGTTGTTTGAGAGTCATGAAACATAAGAATAATTATGGTTTCCTGGTCGTATGATCATGATCATGAAGATATCGCAATACTATCAAGTCGTAATAACAGCACGCCAACACAGAATATCATACAAAACAGGTGTTGTATCAACAGTAGAAACACATACGTATAAAGATCAAACTTGTGTTGATATCAGTCATATATCAATGGTTTGCAAATAAAATAGCTATTGCCGAATTATTATTGATTCCTGTAAAATACAATTAGTTAGTATATATTTTTTTTTTTTTTGCTTTACGCAAGTAAGAAATGCCTTTATAGTGAAACATATTATCAAAAAATGTTAAATATATGTGATTTAACTTAAGACCAACCTAGTCTAGGTTTTTTGTCTCAGCAATATTAGACATCAATCTTTAATGAAACATTGTCTTGCATCAATTGAAAAAAATATCCTAATGTTGTATGTTCTTTTTATAAATGCGGCGAATAGTAGAACTAACTAACGAGCAAGAGTGTCAAATTGAGAAATTAATAAAACATTCTTGTAATCTGTAGTTGATTTCATTCATTCATCGTATCTATCAATGCATATTTCTTGCTTTCAGAACAATGAATCCAAGACTGTACAATGCAATGAGGTCAAAAAGAAACGACGAGGAAAGGGGAGACGAAGAAAAGCAAAATCGGTGGTCAACCAGCCAGTGCTTGTTGACATTCCTGGTCATCTGAATGGAATACATATCAGCGAAAATGACAAAGATAAGAAACATGATCTAGGGAAGGATGTGGAATCTAAGGTCAGTCAAGACTATACCGACGAGAGTCATGACGGTAATGAAACAGACGAAACAATAGAAAATTATTACTCGGAAAACGAGTTCCAAAAAGAAAATGCGAATGCAACGAAAGCGAAAGATTCCGGCAGCGAAAAAAGTATTAACAGTTTCTTCACAGAAAACGAACAGGATGAAAATATTATCACTGATTTTAATCAAAATAAGGAGTCCGAAGATGAAGATTGTGAAGACAGCGAAAAATCTTCAGGCAAAATAGACAACCGATATAGAGATAGTGGTTACAGCGATCAGACAAAATCCGAATTTCAATTGACAGAAAACGCAGGAAAAGATAGTACAAGAAAACTACGTGAATCAAATGTTGACGCTGATATTCCTGATATTAACCATCACACTGATTTGTCTGAGAAACAACACGGAGAACTACAGGAACAGTTTGTCCTTTGTGAAGGTGCTCGGAGGTATGGTTAAATGCTTATTGATGCAATTAATTATGTTGTTTAATATGTTGTGCACTGCATGACGAAATTCAAAATGTAAAAAAATACCTGCCTGATTAAGCGGAAAGATTTGTCATGCAGTTATTTGCACTCCCCAAGACAGATTGATAAAAAACGCAAACCATTTAATTTGTTTCTGTCGTTTATGTGTTGATGCAGATACGTAAATGAAAAAGAATGTTAAGTGGAGGAGCACGATCTCACACTCGACTTGCATAATATTCATTTGAAAGCAGGCACTTCCAACGTACCAATGATTTTATTGAATTGCAAAGTATCAACGAATGACAAATTTGTCGTAATTTATCAAAATTAAAATATACGGAAGGAAATACATATTTTTGTTGCCTTGAAAAACAAATGAATAATCTACGTTGTCCATTGAAATGATAAATATGATCTAATATATGAAAGTACAACATATTTGACCTCGATTTTCCGTAAATATTTCCTTTGGTCTAAATTTATGTACATTACGGAAGAAATATTATTTTCCGCATGATAATTTTGCTCGAAAAGTTTGAATATTTTACAAATCTTGAGGGCACTGACAACAAACAATGATATATAACAAATGACCTTATTTGCATTTATTTTTATTGTATTGTATAATTTATCTGTATTGATGCGTTTAGTTTACTGTGTGAAATCTGATAAATTATCGTTTTTATCACTACTGTTATCAAATTAAAGTCTTTATAGAATGCGATATTTAAAAAACTTTAATACGAACAAACTATAATACACTATTGTTAAAAAACTCATGATATTTTACTTCATTTTAATAGCATATCGAAAACACTTATGGAATCTAGTCACGAGGACAGCCATGTTACAGGTCAAAAAGCAGAAAAGAATATAACAGAAGAGCTTTCTCTTTGCAAAGACAGAGTGCAAAGTCCCCAACAAAGTATGGATTGTGATAGCGATGTCATGCCGGATGTTGTATGTGAACAGCCAGCAGATATAGCAGGTCCAACGCCTATCGACCAGGATACATACAGTACAGGTACATTAGTTTGACTGGAATTAAGTCTGAATTCTCAAGTTTTACAGTACATGCATTTTCTTTTGACTGTGACTTAATCTGAATTCTGAAGTTTTACAATACAAGCATTTTCCATTGACTGTAGTTAAATTTGAATTCTGAAGTTTTACAGTACAGGCATTTTCCTTTGACTGTAGTTAAATTTTAATTCTGAAGTTTTATAGTACAGGTATATTTCCTTTGATTGTAGTTAAATCTGAATTCTGAAGTTTTACAGTACAGGTTTCTTTCCTTTGAATGTAGTTAAATCTGAGTTCTGAAGTTTTACAGTTCATGTTTCATTCCTTTGACTGTACACTGAAGGAAACCTAGTAGGTGTACTAGCTTACCAAGTAAAGAAGAAATTATAACTAGTACACTTGTTAATTTACTAGTATTTCTGGTTAAAATTACTAGTCTTTCAAGTCAAAATTACTGGTCTTTCTAGTTGTCTACTAGTCCTTCTAGAAAGTTACTTTAATAAAATTGTTCAATTCTTAGTTTTCTATGTTGCTTTTTAGACTGTTGTTTGTCTTTTGAACGTTTTTCGTTTTTTGCCATGGCATTGTCAGTTCGTTTTCGACTTTTTGACTATCCCTATAGTACCTTCCGCCACTCGTTTACCTATTTAATTCAACTATGTATTTCTTTGAATGCAGTTAAATCTGTATTCTGAAGTTTTACAGTATAAATATATTTCTTTTGATTGTTGTTAAGTCTGTATTTTGACGCTTTAAGGTACAAGTATAACTCTTATTAGCTGCAGTTAAGCGAGTATTCTGATGTTATACACTACAAGTAATTTACCGGGCCTTTGACTGGATTCGGATATTCGACACAAGCAAAAGCAAACACGAATAAACACAAAAGGAATACATTTATGCAAATAGATAATCCTAATGTACACGTTGCTAAAGGGTAACCATTTAACAAGATTGCACTTTGATAGTTTTTAATCGTAAAGAAAAGGGTTAAACGTATAAATCGACCATAAAAAACGAAGTATCGAATATTGCGCGTTACTGTAGTATAAAGATCAATACACATGAAGGGTTTCACCATTACGGTTTATAGATCTATTGGTGTATAGATTAAGTACAAAGTAAACATTATTGTCTTTATAATCAAAGTTTGTTGAAAAAACAGATGTTAAAACGCTTTCTTATTTCCACGGTACTTCTGATAATACAACCTGAGAAATCAGTGAGTGAAAGCAATTTGATAATATTTTATATTATATGTAACACACGTAAATATTAACATGGCGGTATCGAACATAAGTAGAAAAAGATGCGCTTCTGCCCTGCTGCACAGTTAAACGTCGTTGTAAATCTAAAAGAACATGTGTCCGCTCGCTGTTCAAAGCTGTCGTATATTATTCAAAAGAGCCGTTTATGATATTAGAGTTTTTAAAAAACCTATTTAAGCTACTACCCTTGTCACGAAAGGCTAGTGAGAGTTTTTTGCCGACTTGATGTCCTTTGGATGTTAACCTTTACATTTCCACCATTTCCCTTTCGAAGCACCTTAGATCACCCCGGTTTTTTGTTGGGTTCGTGTTGCTCAGTTTTGGGTTTTCTATGTTGAGTTTTGTATACTATTTTTTGTCTTTTTATCGTTTTACGTTTTTTTGCCATGGCAGTCATTTCTTTTTTACGACTAATGAGTATTCCTTAGGTATCTTTCGCCTCTCCTCTAAACTGTTGAACCAAACTTAATCGGAATAATAATAATTCTTTACTGTCATATAAACAATTTGTTTGTGACAAAGAATAAAAACAAAACATAACATAACAAAGATATAACATTTAAGCTAATAATAAAAATAATATTAATTATGAGGGTTCTGTGCTCAATTCTAATTTTATTTCTTATTTTATTCACTTTATTTCAGATGACGAAGACCCACCAACGCTAGAACCACAAATCATTGGGTTTCATACTGAAAAGAAGATCATTCCAGCTTCGCCATCTGAATCACTGACTCCATGTCATGTTGAAACGGGCTTTGACAGCTCTGTCGACGATACAGAAGTCCCATGTTCCAAGAAAATTGTATTGTCGTTACCTTTGAAGAATGTTTGCCAAATGTCAAGACAGGATTCAGACACCAAGATGACATTTCAAGAACCACAACAACACACTAGCTTCACAAAAGACCATAACCAAGAACTACCGCAACAAACTAGCTTCACAAAAGATTATCACCAAGAATCAAAGGAATGCAACGATCGTGCACATGAACCTAAAGAAGGCGTCGAGAAGGCAACGGACCCCGAACAGTTCTCTGATAATTCTCAAAAAACTATTGATTCCGTTGTTAGTGTTAACACTGTCAGCAAAGATATTAGAAATGCGTTGAATTCCACTTCTACTAAAATACCGAACAAACGAAAGCGAAAACGGTCATCAAAACATGTGAAGAAAGTCGACACAATATTACACAACATTCCAACAATAACAGGACCAAAAATCGATTCTCAAAACGATACTGACAATAACTTTTGCCAACAGAAAAATAAAACAGATAAAATATTAAATAAGGAAATGTCAAAAGATTGCGACAGAAAGTCAAAAGATAACATTTTTTTCTGTCAACAAGATTATACTGTCGAACATAAAATTAAATCTAATTCACTAAACAAAGAACCAACAGTTATCAAAGAAGAAACGTCGATGAAGATACCAATCACAAATATGGACAACATATCGAATTCACGTATTGATACATCTAGAAATATGAACCAGATCAACAAAGATCCCAATTTAAAGTTAAAGATTTCTACAAAAGATGATAAAAAATCACTGATAAATTTGTCAGCTACCGTTCCTCGAATGAATGGTGACACCAGAACGAGATCACCACTTCAAAATAGCTATGACGACTATATGCGAAGACTTGAGGCGTCACACTCTTCTACATCGTGGTATGTATAATAGTTAATTGGACAGGATTTTAAAAATGCATGTATTACAACAATTATATATAAGGAAATCTAATTCACTTCGCAATGATTGGAACAAATCTGAATAAAATTGAGAATGGAAATGGGGAATGTGTCAAAGAGACAACAACCCGACCATAGAACAGACAACAGCAGAAGGTCACCAACAGGTCTTCAATGCAGCGAGAAATTCCCGCACCCGGAGGCGTCCTTCAGCTGGCCCCTAAACAAATATATATACTAGTTCAGTGATAATGAACGCCATACTAAACTCCAAATTGTACACAAGAAACTAAAATTAAAAATAATACAAGACTAACAAAGGCTAGAGGCTCCTGACTTGGGACAGGCGCAAAAATGCGGCGGGGTTAAACATGTTTATGAGATCTCAACCCTCCCCCTATACCTCTAGCCAATGTAGAAAAGTAAACGCATAACAATACGCACATTAAAATTCAGTTCAAGAGCTGAAGCATTTAATATGTAATATATTTTTGTAAAAGAATTTGACGATGTCTTAGGTTAAAACAGTAACATTCCCATATCCGCTTTTGTACGCATTTTAACAGAAGAATACGACGGGTCTAACTAGTTGAGCTGGAACTGCTTACCCTTCCGATTCACCTTTGTAAACCCCCTGTTTTTTTATTTGGTTCGTATTGCTGAATCGTTTGTTTATTCTGTAGAGATTTTAGACTTTTGTTTTGTCTTTTCATCGTTTTTCTTCAACTAATGGTTGCTTATCAAACCTCTTAAAATTTTCTCCTTAAAGAAAATTTCTATTCGCTTGCACTTAAGTGTGCCTATATATTCAATCATTTCTCATTTCCCACATGTATAATTTGTACATTGTACGATACCGGATAGTATTGCCATCCAACATTCATTTCAAACTATTAGATGTACATTTATTAATGATGTTTAAGATATCCATCCGCTATCTGTCATCTCGATTGATTTTGTACGACATACTATGATCTGTATTTTAAATTTCAGGAATCCATACTTCCCGTTTTTTCAATTACCGAGACATTTAGAAGGAATGAGTATACCAACTTCATCTTTTATGTCTCCATATCCACCATTGCTTGGAACTGCAAGAAAACAAGACCTTGAATCATATCCACGAAGTCTGATAACTCCAACTTCGTCTCCAATGCTGTCTCCTTATATTGCAACATCTCCGCCATCATTTGATATTCCAAAGTTACCAACTGTGCCTAATATGTGGAATGGAAAGGATTCGTTTCCCGACACCAAATATTTCCATGGAAAATCAATCGATTCAAAATGTACATCATCGTCAACAGATACAACATCATCTTGTCTAACCATAAAACCAGCTCATTCAGTTATGCCTGACTCATTGTGTTCTAATATGAAACGTAATTCTGATGAATGGGATACACCGCTTGATCTTTCTATGAAAAAGACAAAATATCACCATATTAAAAATTCCACTTTTACCGATCTTAACAAAAATAAAATCACAAACTTTAAATACAATAGAAACGACCGGGTAAACACTCCAGATACTGTTTCTAAACATAAAAAGTTGAAAAATGTATGGATTAATAAAACAGACAATGAAAAGCAAAAACTAAGTATTCCAGAGAAATGCTCCTGCTTTAAAGACAACTTAGAACATTGGAGCGTCGATCAAGTCTACAGTTTTATCAAACGTCTGGATGGATGCAGCCCATATTCCGAGGTACGTATAACTAAAACGAAGTCTGCAATGTGAAAAAGAAACTTGATGATGATTGATTGGTATTTAACATCAAGTGGTTCATATTACATCAAGACGATAATATGAATATGAACCATGCATGCATTGTGCTAAACCGATATGCTGAGCCATATTTTTAACGTTCTAGTTCACAAAATAACAGTCCGAAAAAAGACACGGTCACATTGTTCGGACTCCGAGTTGACCAGTCTTTGTCCTTTCTTAACACCGTGTACTAATAAAGAAGCAGCAAATACCAATGTTCAAGTCTTTGTTTGAGCCGACCGTGGATTGAACTCACGGTCTCTTGTACTCGGGGGGCGAAAACGCTACCACTTCGAGACCACCAAGTCGGTGAACAAAACCTGACAATTTAAAAAAAAACATCTGTAAATGAAGCCTTTGTGATAAAACATGTTGACTGACGTCTGTTTGACTAGTGTATTGGTCGAACATTATGATTGAATCATAAATCTCAGCAGTCATTATATGCTGTGTCTGACATCACGTATATACTACAAAGAAAATTTGCAACATCATCTAAACGTTATAAGAATGTCGCATCTAAACAGCATGTATTTTATCCAGTTACGTATTTTCATACATGTACTTTCTTCTGTTAATAAGGTTATTTTCAATTGATTAGAACTGGGAAATGGGAATTGTTTTATTGATAATTGATTACATTACCCCTCTGCTAAGTAGAGTAAACATCTTCCTATTTAATCTAAACGATATAGTAAGCGTAAATAGCTTTCATTCAGTTCTTTAGGTGAAATCGTTGTTCGAAAGTAATGTGTTTTGTTATCTATTTTCATTTAATTCTCATCTCTCATTAATATCAAATTTTATAGGAATGCAGAAACACAGAGTCTATTAACAACACATTTAGTTTAAATTGATTATCATTTGAGAAGTGTACATCTCAGTATTAGACGGAATTCGATTCTGCAGAATCACTTATTACTTATTTATGGATAAAAAGTATTGTTTGTTTCTGGGATCATCGATCATAATTCACCAGTGATGAACATTATTTGAACTAGCTTCGCTAGTAATCGGTTCGTGTCTGTAATGCTATTTCCGGATGATAATGATATTTAACGCTAAGATAATTGAATGCATTTTTAATACTTTTTACTAGTCACGTAACAATTCAAAACCGAAATATTAGGTACATGTTACTAATGATTCATATACTATTGAAGTATGCATGTTAAAACTACCGTTGTTTTGATTTTATAAGAAGAGTTAATGTTCCATTTGAGATGTGAAGAAAATGGCTGATGGCAACAAACGAAACGCCGCGATTATGATCGTCTGTTGTATTAGAATATAATAATTTAAATATCGACAGAAAAGCAATGTGGAAATGCGACGGTTTTTTTCCCTCAATGTGAAAAACTTTTAACCTAGTGAAAACAATGACATTGAAAAAAATATCTTATAAGTTGAAATGATTATGAATTAAACACCAAAAAGTAGAATTACACAAATTAATAAAATGAATTTACGATAATAACATGTTTACTTCATATATGAAAAAATAATTAGTTTCAGTATTATTTTTACTTATATATAATAATCTTAACTTTTGTTGTTACTTTTTTGTTTTAGAAATTCAGACAACACAACGTTACCGGCATGTCACTTCAGTTTTTGTCCACAGACCACATGACCAGAGGCATGGGGATGAAAGTTGGACCAGCTATTGTTCTGAGTGACGCTATTACCCGAGAAGTGCAGAACAGCAGGAAACGTTCGATGTCATGTTACCACTGTAATTCGAAATTACTCAGGGATGACCATAAACTGTTTGTTTAAGTAAACTTGTACTGTATAGTGTATTATAGATATAAAATTGAACAGTGCTATACGCCATGCAAATTTGAAGATTACGTGAAGTGTTCAGATCTCTTTTCAAAAATGATGCATGACTATCTAATAAATCGAAAAAAAAATATATTCGTCCATTTCTGTTCCTTCATTTCATGACAAAAAAATGTATGGTTACTACTTCTTTTTGTCACTAGGGGTTAAATAAAAACGTTGATGTAACACAATGTGTGTGTGACGTGCATTGAAACTGATTTGATACAGGTCAAATTGTGCTCTAACACATAGCACACAATGGAACAGACTTCTTGCTTTGTAGCACAGAAATCAAGACGACAGTTTGATTGTGTGTTTTTTAACCCCTATGATATCTAGAAATTTAGGAAATGAGAGATGTTTGTGCACACGAAAAATTGGATTGACCCTACCACATTTTGTGGCTGTACCAAGTGTTGTTCAGTGTGATTCTCGTTGTTTGTTTGTCTGTTTTTCGGAGAAATTTGACATTGGTGGTTGATGTGGTCTGTTGTGCTGCGCCGTATTTTTGGCGATTCATGTTTTCAATTTTATGCATTTTATTATTAAGATTTTATAAGTAATCTGTTTATAAAATGTCTTTGTTAAAACATTCAATTTATTAAAATGAATGTCATTAAGTATTTGCATACTAGATATATAAGGGAAAAAAACGAGGAATTTTTAGAGAAATTGATAATATTGCTGTTGGGATCTTGTAATGATTCATAGTAACAGACCAGAAACAAACAAAATGTAAGGTGATAAATTAATAAACCAGAATATGTGTCCAGAGGTCACCGTACCCTATATTATAAGCCTGGTATCTTTGATTAGTTTTTACAACCACTGGGTCGATACCACTGCTGGTCGACCTTTCGTCCCCGAGGGTATCACCAGCCAAGTAGTCTGAACTTCGTGTTGACATAATATATCATTAATATAGACGATTTATGTAAATTTTCTGTCTATAATTTTGAATCATTCGAAACATTTCAGGTTTTTCTACCCACAAAGATAGATTGCTTTAGCCGTATTAGGACCTTATTTTTCTTATGTTTTACTTGTAATGCTTTTACTTACTATATTTGATTTGGCCTTCCAACTTTTTTAATCGAGCGACACTGATGAGTCTTGTGTAGACGAAACGCTCGTCTGGCGTAACACATCATTAGAAATATTGCTTAGATTTGCACATACTATTTTCTTGTTTTTACATCTATAAATAATTAATACAACCTATAATTTAAAGTTCAAGAAGTTATCCTATATAGTTTAAAGTATGTATCCCAAACAGTATGAACTTTGTATCTCCTGATTGTTTTTATTTAAATATTTAATTTATACCTTATGCTAAAAACTCATCAACAATACAAGGCTAATAATTTTGTACGCCAGACGCGCCTTTCGTCTTCAAAAGACTCATCAGTGACGCTCGAATCAAAAAAACGAAAAGGTCAAATAAAATACGACGTTGTAGATCATTAAGGGCCTAAAATTCCGAAAGGTTTTGCCAAATACAGCTATTTTATCCATTCCTGGCGTAGAAAATCCTTACTATTTCGAATAATTCAAAGTTTTGTAACAGTTAATTTATAAATATGACAATATCAATGATGATTCATGTCAACACAGAAGTGCTGACTACAGACTATACAAACCATATAAGTTGTTGCACTTTTGTTGACTTATTCAACAAATAACACACCTAAAACGTTAAAACGCGAATAAGAAACTAATATTTTGATATACGAACATATTCTATTTAAAGATTAATTGGTATTCTTTGGAAAATGCATGTACCAAGTCAGGAATATGACAGCTGTTTTTCAGTCGTTCCGTTGGTTGATAACGTTTGATTTTGTCAGTTGTTATGGACTTCCCCTTTTTGAATTTACATTTGAGTTTGGTATTTATTTTTGTATACTCTTTTATTCTCTTTCCGATTGGATCAAGCTTGTGAATGGTTGACATAAATCAGAATTAATGGCTAAATAGGTCTATAAATACTATTTAAATGCTTAAGTTTTGCTAAACACTCGACTTACTTCCTGACAAATATTTTGTAACTGCAGAAAAAGCCCAAAACAATACCGTTTTTGCATGTAAATTAGTGTATATAAACTGCCTACTAAGTGAATACGGTATTGACAATTCACTTACAGGAACTACTGAGGAGTGAATTCTGAACGAACATATGTCTGTTAAAAAATTGAAAACAACACGTTTAATAATCTCATGCGTCCGAAGCGCTTTTCTGGATTTACCTTCATCAGGAACGCTCAAAGCCAAACATTTGAAATCCGAAGGATGTATAAGTACCGAAACAGTTGAAGAGCTATATGACAAAAATACATAAAACAAAGAGCCAAATTCATCTAAGGTCAACTTTGCCTGAGGGAGTTGAAACCTTAGTTTCTTTATAATTTCAAAATTTATAAACGGACAATTTTAGAAAGGTTTGTTATAAATCATGTCAGTATCGAAGTACTGACTACTGAGCTGATGATACCCTCGGGGACTGATAGTCCACCAGCAGAGGTATCGACCCAGTGATGTAAAAAATTGAAAACAACACGTTTAATAATTTCATGCGTCCGAAGCGCTTTTCTGAATTTACCTTCATCAGGAACGCTCAAAGCCAAACATTTGAAATCCGAAGGATGTATAAGTACCGAAACAGTTGAAGAGCTATATGACAAAAATACATAAAACAAAGAGCCAAATTCATTTAAGGTCAACTTTGCCTGAGGGAGTTGAAACCTTAGTTTCTTTATAATTTCAAAATTTATAAAAGGACAATTTTAGAAAGGTTGTGTTAAATGTTCCTTTTGAATTTCAATAGAAGATGAAAAAATCGATCGATCTTCATTCTACTGGATACCCAAATTACAAAGTTGACCAGACAAACATAGAAATTTTGCAGAGTCTATCAAATTCTCAACGAGAAACTATTTACATCTATTTCATCATCATTTAAAACCGGGCTTCAGATTTAGAGTGAACTACTTACTCTTGGACTGTAGTGAACCAAATGTGTATACTAACACATTCCAAATATTTGTTCCAGTGCATGCAATCTAAGCCCCTCTCCTAGTGCAATAGTCTTTAAAATTGAATTTTCCAACCTGTTACATAAGTTTTCCTCATTCTAAACATAAAGACATCTTGACATATTGACAGAGTTCAGTTTCGTAAAAAAAAGAATGGCCAACATGGAATCAATTATTTGAAAGGGACAAATCGTACTTTGTAAAAACAATACTTTTGAATCACATGAATAGTTAAAATGGCGTCATTAAGATGCTTGATTTTGTTCTTGAAACTATATTTGATTTGTTAACTTTGATGGAAGTGCTTTTTCAATAGACGATCAGCATTCCCATGGTTTCTAACTGTGCTATTCTTCTAGCTAAAATGTCTCTTTATTCGTATGAAATATACATCATACACCTCTTTCTCAAGACGAATGAAAAATGCTAGCATTATTTTGATTTCCTCTTACTGCATAATTAAAGGTTTTGTGCAACTGAACTTGAACTTCAGGATATCCTAGATACAGGTAGGTATGTTTCATATCATGAATTCCATTTAGTAACTTAAAACTAAACTGTACAACAAAATAGAAAAATTTCAATTTTTCTATTTGGCAACATTCCAGCAGCATCTACATATGGAACATATCTCTCCAAGTTAATACCGGAACTATAATTCAAGATGTGTGTTTCTTTTCGGGATTTTATCGTGGCGCTGCTTAAAAGGAAGCTAATGAACAAAGACGTTTCAACTGTTAAGTTGATATCATATTTTCGAATATTTGAGTAAATGTCATCATAATTTTGTAAACCGCTATGAAATACCAGTGTCACAAATGGCCATTGACATGTTCCCGTTGTCTACCCTCGACCCGTCTTTGTTCTGAATTATGTTATCACCAAATACGGTTTAATACCGGAATTGATAGTTGCCATTATCGAATCAAAAATATCTTACCCTTCCGAAGTGCATAATTTCCCCGCCGTTGTTTATTGAGTTTCTGTTCCTCAATCATTTGCTTTCTATGTAGCGTTTAGTGAACATTTGTTTGTGTGTACGTCTTTGTTCTTTGGGCCATTGTGTTGTCTGTCTTTTTACAAAACCAGCTCATTGTCTTTTCTTGGTATCTTCTTCCTTTTAAGCTCACCTGATCGAAGGTCATGTGAACGTTCCCATCACTTTGTCAGTCCTCCGTCCATTAGCTTTTCACTTTTTTATCATTTTGTGATCCAAAACTTAGCACAGGTGTTTCAGATACAAGGCTCTTTTCAAGTTTTGATACTTTGGTGTCGATTCGTCAACAAGCATGGCCGACATTACATTTTCTAATCGACTGAGTTACAATTGAAACCAAACTTGATGCATGTTCCTGTGAAGGTTTTAAAAAAGTTTTGTTACTTTAATGCCGATCAGTAATTCAAATAATAACCAGTGTAGGTCAAATTTTACATTTAAATCATATGGAAAATTACGCTTTGCTTTTGTAAAAAGAACGGGTTGAGTGAAATATGAAAAAAAAGAAGCAATTTTCTTCAAAAGGTACTTACTAAATGTTGCCACTTTGGTCCTAGTAAAGTCTGTTTTCAAGGGGCAAAAAGTGGGTCCGATGTTCAAAGTTCTGCTAAAAACACTGAAGCAGTTGATACCAAATTTGTCAGATATGATTCATTAACAAGTGTTGCTACTCTTAGGCCGATCTGGAGGCAAGGGAGGTTTTGCAAATGGATATTCCGGCCTGGTAAGAACTGAAAAAGATAACCTTGCTTAAACATAAAAAAAACCAATAAATTGGAATACCTTGCCCAACAAAATGCAGGAAATAAACAACAGCAAAAACGCGAGACTTATTCCGAGATTCGGGTCCAGACAAGCAAATAATGAATTCGATCTTCTATGGTACAAAGTGTTTTGAGAAATAGTGTATTGGTGGCTACGCCTTTGTAAGTCGCATTATCTTTGACTGTATGTGGAAATAGAAGTATTTATTCTCCCATGCAAATAACCAAATAATTGTGAAAACATTTTCAATTGTCTTTGTATAAATACGTATTCTTTGGCTTTCAGTGACCATTTCCTTTAATGATACACCACTGACTCAACAGATAGGTCTGATGACGAACATAATTTTAGTCAATTATTCTTTGTCGTCTTATTGACAGAACATAATGGAACAAAAACATATTCCCTTGCGATGCTTCAATAACATACTTCCGATCAGACCAGTCCTAAATGTATTCAGTTATTATCTAGGAACGATATGTTCGCAAGCTATAAGTTAGAGTAGTTGCGCAAAGGATTCCCTTTACAGAAATGTTGCTGGTGTGGTATTTTTTATGGACTTATACGTAGCTTTATATTTTCCGCACATACATGAATAACACAACTAAACAAAGAAGCAAACTATATAGGTTCGGTGTTTGGTCTAAAGGTGAACCTGAAAATTTAAAACGATTAAATACACGTTCATTTCCAAACGAAAGCATTAATCCCATTACCACTGAATAATCCAAAGAAACTGATACGTTCCTTTAAATGCAAGGGCGATTAGAATTAACTGCGGTGAATTAAAAATAATTAAAATGAAATTTAAGTCGATGAACACGCAA